TCATGTATATTCTCTACTTTTGCCTGAGACAATGCCAATCGCTGAACATCAACGTCATGTACAGGTAAATTATTATCACGAGCATCCAGAAATCTTTCAAAAACAAAAGTTTCTATTTGGTTCAGTTTTTGTCGTCGATTTTCGTTATTTGCAACATATTCTCGAAATCGTTTTAATTGCATAGGATGTGTGACTCGTAGATAAGCATGCTGTAATGTTCTGAAGGAGATACCTGGACGCGCAAAGTCAACAATCTGCATGTATTGCAGAGTAAACTGATGATTTTCAACTTCGTCTTGTTCTGGTTCATCTTCATTGTCACTATGATAGTCCGGATCAAAGTGATCATTATCAGATAATTCGAGAGAATCTTCTGATTCTATCACAAAGCTGTTACTGTTGCAAGGATCCTCTAATAAAGCAAGTAGATTTTTTGCGATCAACACTTCGTGCTCTGTGATAGTTGTTGTTGAATATCTGATTTATGTAATGCATTTTCATGTATACATTTACATATGCTAACAACATTCATCATAAAGAAACAATTAAACTAAGCTAACTTGAAGAACTTTGATCAAAGTTTATATTAAACATTTTCTTTCAATTAGCAGATATATATATATATAGTAACTCCAAAGAAAGAAAACAAATTCGCTCGAAAACATTAGAAAATGATAGAAATATTTTTAGACTCGGAAAGTACAGAAAGGAAAGAAGAAAATAAGCAACTAGAATATATATTATAAAGAACGAGGCAATAATAGATGTACGTTATAAATGCATAACAACAGAACGAAAAGAATTATTTTTAATTTACAGTAGGGTGCAAAAAAAATTGCCGTTAAAGTTTCACAATTTTTTTTATTTATCACTATCAAAGAAGATCTATTTTTTCATACAAAGTTTACATACATAGTATACTACAAAACTACAATACTCAATAGTTTGTTCTTTCTCCCTTTGAATCAATAATTGCCAAACATCTCGATTTCATGGAATACACTAAATTACTTATAACTGTCATATCAACTTTTTTTCCATTCTTCATGTAAAAATTGGTCCAGTTCGTCGATATTCGATGGTTTTCGTTTTTCTACACGTCGCTTAAGTATGGACCACATATTCTCGACAGGATTAATGTGCGGACTATTGCTGGGCCAGTCGATTGTTTCGGGTACTTGATTTTCCAAAAATTGTTTTGCTACTCTACTGGTGTGTTTCGGATCGTTATCCTGCTGATATCGCCACCGACTTCCAGATTGCTTTTTTGCTCCACCAAGAAGATGTTTTCGAAGTATTTCAACGTAAAGAGGACCATCCATGATGGTTCGAAAAGAATGGCATGATATTTGACCCTTGATACTAAAAGCTCCCCATACCATTATTTTTTGTTTATTCTTCGGAATTCTTTTTTTTCTTCTTGAGCATATTTGGACCAACGGCGAATCGTGTTTCTGAACAATTGGTAAGAGGTTTCGTCGGAGAATATTGTGCGGCTCCAATCGTCGTTCTTGTGTGCCAAAGCCCATTGGACACATCTTTCTTTTTGTTCGTTTGTCAACATTGGAGTTCCTCGAGGTAAAACATTCTTATAACCTAACCGATGAAGCTCACGCCGTACTGTCCATCGTGATACGTTCAAATTTTTAGTTAATTGAAGTTTTTCGACAATTTCCTCGGCGGTAATTTCGTTATTTCTTCGAATCCATGGACCAATTGCAATGCTGTCCTTGACTGTGATCTTTCGTGGTCGGCCAATGCCACGTCGATGTTCCACACTACCTTCTTTCCGAATCTTGGCTAAATTATACCGGATAGTACGTACAGGTATCTTTGTTTGTCGAGCAATTCCAGCAGCACAACGATGACCCAGATTATAATAATGTAAGATCACTGATCGATGTGTTGACAGATGGTTATGTTTCACTTTCGGTGTCATTTTTATTAAATTGATAGAGACTTCAGAAAGGATATTACCATTCATTATATTTATAGTACCTAACCTTCATGTTCGATATGGTTCCAGAATATTCTTCTTTGAATGTGTAAGAAAAAAAATTCTGGAAAGTTCATATATGAAATGGCAATATTTTTTGCACTCTACTGTATATGTTCAGTAGCGTTACACTATCATCTAATAATATAATCGTACTATTGAGTTACAAAAAGAACACATATTCTCCTGTTTCTTAAAACAATTTAAAAGCAGATTATCGCATGTGCCATTATAGCTATGCCCAAATATGACCATTTAAAGTTTAGATATACGTGAAATCTCGAATTCTGAACAAGTATTTCGAAACTTATTTACAGTGAATAAGTTTCGTAATAAAATTTGGCGATTTTCCTCATTTGCAGCACCATAGAGAAAAACGAAACATACTACAAGAAGCAACTCGTCGAGCTCTACAAACTAGTGTATATCTTGTTAAAAACTAAGACTCATACTTGTGGACCCTCCGTCATAAAACTTCGCTCAATGAACTTCATACATAATATTCTTTAATGACCACGGTCATTCACCAATGTACAGAAGTAGAAAGCATCCGAAGTATGATTATTTATTCTGTACATTGGGTTGCCTGTGCTTGCTAAATTTTTACCTGAAGAAATGAACGAAGATTTGGCACTTTATAACTATTCTTCGTCTTTTTCATCACCATTTGGAGAATGATAAAAAATTGAGTGATTCAATTTCTTGTTTATTGAAAATTTACATTCAAAACTTATCGAAAGATGTCAGTTCTAATTTATATCCACCAAAATTACTTACAATTTCAACTCATACTTATTTTCATCTTCCTTTTCAATGCAAAAAAATTTGGTCGTTTAAATTGGTTGACAAATTTTGTCTTTGAAAGTTTTCTCGGCTTTTTGAAAGCATTTGTCAAAGGTTCTTCAGGAGCAGGAAATCAAATAGCTTTTGTATTTATTTCAAACTTTTTCCTTTCAAAAGCACAAGAAAATGTAAATCATCCTTATGGTCATTTCGCTATTAATAATGAAACTTTGGATAGCAATATATTAAAAATGGAAACTGATGAATCAATAAGTAATTTATTGTATGAGAATGGATATATTTTTTCTAATATAATCTTCTTTTTTCGTCTTCATTATCTTAATATTACTTATCATGCTTTTCTTTATTCTCGAAAAGATTCAACATGTAGTTATTTAGTTTCGTATGAGAAAGATGGTGTGCTTGCGTATGGTTATATTCTCTGTTTTTTTTCAATTGATAGAAATTGTTCAGCCGTAGTTCAAGAATTAACTTGTGTTAATGATCCTCTAACTTCTTGTTTTTCATCGTATAAATATGTAACTGCTATTAAAGATTCTGTAGATAACGTCTACATTGTTGTTAAGCGTGTGGAACATTTTCTTATTAAATCTGATCATATGGATATTTGTCTTGTAGCTTCTCTTCGTTCTCGTTGTTTTTCTGTTCACTTTGGTGATGAATTTATGATCCTCACAAGCTACTAAAGTGCGTATGAACATAATTAAATAAAAAATTAAAATTAAATAAAAACTAAATTTATGAAATTTAGAATTGAGTGAATGATAAATAAAAAATAAAAAATAAATTTATTGAATTTTGACTTGAGCGAATATGAGAAACAATGAATAAAAGAGAAAACAAATATAATAATTACTTGTTACACCACTTTTAAACGCAAGCACAGTCCAGCTGGGTTAGCTGTTCAGTTCATGAACTGAAGGTCTAGAGATCAATACTCTGTGTTCATATTTCTTCTGTTCTGTTTAGAAAATCCTGCTACGATCCTGACGCAATCCTGCCATGACACTGGTAAGTTCTACTCTTGTAAATATACACTAACAAAGTCTTATCCGTTGAGTCGTAACAGATTACTGACAGGTTACCTCGCGATAGTTTGACAGAAGAGTGATCACATAAGATAGTATTCTGATCGAATCCTGAAAAAGTTGTTTTGACAACAGGTGTAAAAATCCTGAGAGGATCCGACAAAAAACTTGATACAAATGTGACAGAATCTTTGACAAATCTTTTTTTTTGAATCCTGACAGGATCCTGAAATTCCGTGGCTACATAATTCTTTCAGGATTGATCGATTTTCTGGCTCTATCCTGGTTCAAAAACAATGGTAAACTTGTGAGGATCCTACGAAAACTTGTTTCGAATCCTGACGGGATCCTGAAACTACATGGTTACACACTTCTTTCAGGATTTAGTCGTTTCCTCAGGAACAAAGTGAATCTTTGCAGGCTTCTGATCATATCTGTCAAGGATCTGGCGCTGAAACATCAAAGATTTTTCCTAGAGTAGATGAAGAAAAATATGTTATGAGTGATAATGAACCGACAATGAAACGAACATTTAGCCAAAGTTGTATACAGCTCGGATGTAGCGATCATTATTTGAATAAACAATTAGAACATGCCTTCACGTCAGAAAAGATTGATGGTGAAAATGTCAATTGTGAATTAACACAAGAACTATTTCGTGATATTAAATTTATTGTTGGAAGTGTTCGTCGAGGACATAAACAACAAAATTTTTCAAGGAAATTTATATTGTACGGTGAAACACGTTTCAGGGGTGCTTATCAGATGCTGAAGGTGTTTTTATCGGTTTTTGATGAAGTAGCTTCTATTCTTGATAATAAACTTTTCGCAATTTATTTATGAATAGATAAAGATTTATTAATTGATATATGTGAATTTTTATTGCCGTTTGATACTGTTCTTGATACATGAAGTGATAATGAACGACTGACACTTCATCATGTATTACCATTTAAACAGTTTTGAATTAACAAGTGTGACATTAATGATGATGAAAAAGAAGGTTTAAAACATTTGAAGCTATTCTTAGGTAAGAATTTCTAGCAAACAAATGGCAAAAATAATGGAAATATTGTTTTTCTTTTTCAGGAAAAAGATTGGTCGAAAAATAGAAATTGTCAAATGAACATTTGATTGCTACATTGGTTCATCCAAACTGAAAACATTTTCATATGTGTCCACATATGAAAGAATGTGCAATTCTTTTGTCAACAGATGAAATGTTTAAACGACAAGAAAATGTTTTAATAAGAGATACTTCAATAGTAACACAGACATCACCAATATCTTCAACGTTATGTTCATCACCATCTTCATCATCATTATCAACTACTATGTTATCTTCAAGAAAAAAACTTATTGATGCAAATTTATGATAAACCAAGTACAAATAAAGAAAAATCAGTTATTGAATAAGAAATAGAAGATTATCTTTAATCTATATCATTATTGCACGATGAAGAAAATAATGATATTCTTGCCTATTGGAAGAAACATTCCAAGTCTTATCTATTGATTGCAACAATTGCACATGACGTTTTAGTAATTCCTGCTTCTAACATGTCTGTTGAACATTTATTATCCTATTGTAAGAATACTGTCACAGATAAACAAATAAGACTTGGAGCCGAAAAACGAAACAAACTGATGTTCTTGCAAAAAAATTTGCATCCTTTAAAAACAATGTTTGATTTTAATTCTAATCAAATAAAAGATTATTAACAAGTTAAACGTAAACAAGATGCAACCATATTTGATCAACAAAACTTGTCAAAGAAGTTCAAACCACCAGATAATTTAATTGATATTAAAAGCAATGATGGTCATTTCGTTATTATTTCAGATGAGCTTGATCAAATGATCATCTAAACATATTGTTTTCTTTATATTTTTCCCATCTAATCATTGTCGAGTAGTTCAACTTATGCTTTCTTTTTCATGTCTTTTTTTTCATTATGAATAATATATGCAATGTTAAATAAGTGTTTGCTTTTTTAATATAATTGCGAAAATCTAAGTTTCATAATAAATAACCGTGATTTGAACTACTTTTTATGGTCACAATCATAGTCACGGTCACTAATTTGTTTTCTAGTCACGAGCACGTTCACAAAATTTTTCATAAATCACGATCACAATCAGGATAACGCGTGATCGTAATTGAGACGGTCATGCAGGACATTAACTACTACACAATGCTCCATTGATCTTCCTCTCGATCCAGTTCAGCATACAGAAGTCTTCATGGTATAATGAAGGCGACACCACGTGTTTCACGTTTCAATCAAACAGAAATTCCGCTAAAATCTATTTCAATGGCTTCGCCGTCCGATTCAAAATCTCTGCCATAATCTTTACAACTAAACGACTGATAGATTTCCAATACACGGCTTCTTTCCCTTCATATCACGAACGCTGCTGAAATTAAGCAGCTCACCAACATTGTTATTTTCTTTCTCAAAATGTCTTCTTTTCGATTATAGGCAGTAAGCCAAATTCTCAACCACATCTGGATGTCCTACATGGATAATTATGAATAGGCTTGCACCTACGGTCAAAGACTACTAGCTCAATGAATAATT